CGGGGGCACTGTGCTCTTCAGGGGCCCCATGAGGGCCGTGTGCAGGCTGAGCCACCGGGGGCACTGTGCTCTTCAGGGGCCCCCGTGAGGGCCGTGTGCAGGCTGAGCCACCGGGGGCACTGTGCTCTTCAGGGGCCCCCGTGAGGGCCGTGTGCAGGCTGAGCCACCGGGGGCACTGTGCTCTTCAGGGGCCCCCGTGAGGGCCGTGTGCAGGCTGATAACAAGCTCAGGTCCCATCGCCTCATTGGTGGATGTTGATGTCCCTGAAACTGTGCCTCTAAGCTGTTTGAAAAGCTAAATAAATAGCTAGCATGTAGAGTATAAATACTAGCTGGTTAGCAGAGCATGCTGCTCCATCATCTCCAAAATGTCTTTATTTAATATTTAGTGTAGTGACCATTTATGGCCAACAGGGGGCGCCATGCAAATGTGTGGTTTGAGTGTCGGTAAACTGGCTGCCTGCGAATATCTGTGCTGACCTCTTCCTCCTCCTCGCCAGTGCTTTCCAAGCTCATCATGATCGTCCTGCCCATCGCGCAGATCGCCATAGGTGAGTGTCACCCTTCCTTGCCCCGTACCGCCAAAACACCCCATGTGCGGCAGGCGTAATGCTCCTGCACCCCCCCCCTCCTCCACAGGTGTCGTGTACATGAAGGACTGTCCGGCAGAGCACTACATTCCCATCTACCTGGTGGTGACGGGCTCCTTCAGCCTGGCCCTCGCCATGCTCTCCTGCCTGCCCTGTTCCCAGGAGTCTGACGAGGGCGATCAGGGGCCTCTCTATAAGCTCTGCACCACCTGGAATTCCCTGGTCTCCTTCTTCCTCTTCTGCTGGTTCATCGCCGGTAAGATGTTTGCTGGGGGTCGGCGCCGATCGATGAGGTTGCTCTCCATCAGGACAGCGGCGAGGTGCCTGACCACCTTCCAGACGGGAGGCCGGCGTTTGCCGAGAAAAGGCCCTCAAACGTATAAATCCGCAGCCCAATTAGCAATCGAATTCCCCTGCTTGGTTTTTGACCTGAACGCGGGTGCAAAAAAGCAGCCAAAGTTTTTAAAAATACCTCTAGTTTTACTCTTGATGAGGTTTGCAGGCCAACTGTAAATTTATTTGTAAATTCCTTAGTTACTGATGGCGGAACCCCAGTATCTGACATGGTGGCGTCCAGCCTCCCGGAAAGTGGGGGCATGTGTCTGTGACACTCACGATCCTTGTGACGATGTATCCGCAGGTAATGTGTGGATATACTCCATTTACGCCCCGGACTATGACCCGAAGGCCGGCGTCTCACACTGCAACAAGACGCTGTACCTCTTCGCCTTCTGGACGACCACACTGTGCTACATCCTGCTGGGGCTCATGTTAGTCGGAGGCTGCTGCATGTTGCTCTGTTTGTGTGTGTTGGGAAAGAGCGTCCAAGAGGGGGCTGATGAGGTCTGAGGAAGGCTCGCCCCCCACCGACAGCCCCCTGACCACTGTGAGAGTCAGAATTGGACGAGCCGTGTTGTCCCTTATACTCTCTCTGTTCTTTCTGTTGTTGGACAAACTTGTCTCACACCGTACAGGAAAAGTTTCTTTCCTCTCCCTTCCACCCCCCTTTTTCTCCCTCTCTCTCCTCCTCTCCCTCTTGCTTCCCCCCCCCCCACCAATCACAATCAGCAGAACTTCACAGGCTTGCGTAATTCCAGCTGCCTCACTCTGTACGGAGCGTGATGCCTCACTGCTCACATACATGTGATCTATTTTTGTCGAAAGGAAATGTTATATGGCATGAAATCCATGGGTGCTTAACGGTAGAAAATTTGCAGATCGTATCAGATCAGCATTTCTGAGCTGCTGTCTGAGCCTTGATAGACGCCAAAGACGACAGGATGCGCTCAGAGCTCCGCGGTTTGCATGTTTTGCACTGATATTATGCCCTGTATATGCTGCTCTGGTGCATTTCTCATCTATTGTAGTACTGGTACAATGTGGGATCTGTAATCAGAGGATCCCGCTCTGTCAAGGGCCAGGTGTGAGTTTCACTGGGATAATTATACTGCTATGGAATAAACATGCATTATCACGAACAATGTTATGTCGCCTCAGTCGATTGGACGTTGTCACCCTATGCCCTTATAGGGCGAAGCACTGGAGAAGGGAAATGACAGGGAAAAATAAGCCAGCCAGAACAGTATCCACTGCTTCTAACATTTCAAACCTCCATCCATCCATTTTCTGTAAACGTTTGTCCTATTCAGGGTTGCGGGGGGTCTGGAGCCTATCCCGGAGGCTACGGGTGCAAGGCAGGGAATAACCCAGAGTGGGGGTGCCATCCCATCTCATTTCAGACTTTTTTTTTTCAGGTTTTTTTTCAATACTTTCATATTTCACACAGTTCAGTGGTGGTTTTTACCACATCCAGCCTGGGTTCTGGCTGGACTCCAAACTTCCTCTTTCAGGACCGCTTGGGGTCTCGCAGATTTCTCTCAATGTTGCTGGTTCACCGAGGGCTCAAAAAGTGACACCCACCAGTGTATCGCCGAAGTTTAAGAAGTAGGGTGGCCAGATGATCAAGGGGGAGGCTTTGAGCCAGGACAGGATTTGCAAACTACCATTTCAATTGAAAGGATCTGTATTTCACTGGATGAGTCTTTCAGTCAAGGAAACACAAGTCAAAGCACAAGTATAACTGAAGTATTTAGCCAAGCGGAGGAGATTTTCAGTCTTTAGGTAGTTTGTAAAACCTGTAGCACAGTGTCCCCCCCTAACATGGATTATCTGGTCACCCTATTAAGAGCACAATGGCGTAGGTCAGAGAAAGTGTTTTTTTTTTTTTGTTGTACCTGTGAGAACCTGCTGGCTACACAAAGTTTATACTCGACAGGCCCCAGGTAAAAATGCAACTGGGTTGAGTCATTTCTGGCAACACGTGATGTCAGGAAGCTTCTGTGCTGGTCACCTATGGCCCGTGGCTTCAGGAGGTCTTTAATCGTCGCTGACCTGGTCCTGGGAATATCTGCAGTGCTACATTCGTTTAATGGGGTGTAACTGGCAACGTGTCACGCAGCTTTACTCAGCCAAGAAACATGTACAGACACAAGATCCACACTGTCCAGTACCGACTTGATAAAAAATAAACTTTCATGACAACACATGCTGGAAAACACCTGCCTAACAAAGAGCTTGGTTCTAAAAAAACAAAAAAAATGAAAATAACTAAGATTCTGCAGATTTGTCCCTGATTCGCAGGATAGTGCTGAGAATTTTTAGTGCATATTTAAATAGTCACGTTTGGCATTTATTGCGATGTACGCGTGACTTTGCTGACCTTCTCCAAATGAACCTGTTGCTTCCAGAAACTTCTCTGAGGTGCAGAAATGCGTAGCTGGCTTTCGTCAGTGTTTAGCCCATTGTGGTACCCATTCAGATTTTAAGCCACTTGAATACACAGAGCAGATTCACGGTCTGTGAAATTGCAGGACTGGTTGCTGCGTTGGAGCCCAAGTATGGTTTGGGCGTGTGCAGCAATTGGCCTGCGGTCATGCCAAGGGATTCTGAACTGTAGCTGTGCAGTCACGTTACCTAGACGACCTGGTTAGTCCAATTCCCGGCTCTCTATAAAGTGAGCTGTGTAGTAGAGCAATTATTCTGGCAGGGGAATAGCTAGTCCTTGTTCAGGGGGCAGACAGCAACACAGGTGCCCTGTTACCGTCACGCAGGCTGGTGGGTGTGGGCGGCGGTACCCATGCGTGTGTGGCGACACACATTTTTCAGGTGATGTTGTTCCTTTCCATTGTTTAACGAGATGAGGTTGTGCATTTATACCACGCCTTATTTTAAACGATTTTCAGTCTGTCGAACACATACGCTGGTGTAGGGTGTCCTAACTTCCCCTTTGATGCCATCTCTGGCCGTTTCAGTTTGACATTTAATGTTTATCACCGGACTGAATAGCCAGTGAGCAGACAGACCGGCTGCCTGGAAAGTGTTAGTCTAGCAAAACAAACTTAGAAAAGGAGCAGGATGTGCTCTTTCCCCCAGCCCAGGGTGTTCTATACCAACGGGAAGAAGGAGCTTTCTGTACAGCCGCATCTCCCTCACTTTCCACTTTGAATCTCATTGGAATCTGTTTACATTCCACGCAACTCAAAAACATTCCACCAGCTGTCCATTTCCCTAGCAGGTCCGCGGTTAACCTGACTTTCCCAATAAACGAGGGCCCTTTGTAAAGTGCAGCCGAGCCAGAAAGGTTAAATTGAGGATTTAATTTCAGGTGACAACTCAACTTACAGTTCAGTCAGTTACATTTTTAAAACAACGTGATTGGAAAAACATCAACATCTAAAGAACGTGGCGCGATATAAAGCGAGTTAAGTGCCTGAAGGCAGTCTGTGCCTGACGGTAACGATACCCACAGGCCGTCAAACCGCTGCTCCTCCCACGAGTGAGATTTCACCTCACCACGTTAGGCTTCAGTTTACCCACAATGCACCAGCCAGGCTTCCTGTAATGCTCCGTTCCTCCTTATCTTTGCATTTTGAGGTTTCCTGGCAGCTTGTCAGCTGAGTCGGCGTTGGTCCCGTCTTTGAGCCTCGCCGGGGGACCACACCGACGCCCGACCCCACCCCAACCCCCTATCACTTAATCCGCAGCAGCGATGGTCTCTGGACAGTCACTGAACATCATCAGAAACTTTTCTTCTCTGTACTATTTTTTCCAGTTTGTCTGGACCTACACAGATGAAAATGTGGTAAATACCCACAGTGGGGGCGTATGCTTGCTCCGTAAAAGTGAATCTACAAGCTTCGGGTTGAGCGCCCATCCTATAAACAGGAAACTAACCAGAAACGACGTGTCCCTGGAATTTCAGCAAGGAATGCCTCCCATCCGGGTCACTTATCTCTCTTTCGTTGCCAACCTCCCTCCAAAAAAAACCCCAATCACTCCTTTTTCTTGACACAAGAGAAAAATGTAAGGGGTCCTTTTGGGTCCAGTAGTCCCTGGGGTGGGGGTAGAGGGGTCTGCAATACTTGATAAGCTGTCAAACAGGATGTCCCTCCTCTGGCTCGCTCTCACTGGACAGCAGGAAACCAGGCTCCGCCTCCTCCACTGACCCACCTACACCGGGGAGGGGCCAAGTGTTAATGGCACTGTCATGTAATACCTTCTACATTCATACTGTTACTGAGATACATTCTGCGTTCCATATATCACTGGTAAACCTGGAGATAAGCAACAAGGAATCCTTCAGGGTCAAAAAGCCTTGAGTTATGAATACTGGCGATTAAAATGACAGAATAGCAGCTATAGAACTAATTCACAATGTAGGGTATCGTGGCTGCCCACATCACCATCTCGAGCCTCACCTTTGGCAAGGTGTGTCAGCAGTGCGGCACTCCTGGACTCCTGATTGGACAGATCCAGGAAGCCACCACTGGCAGGGCCCTCCCCTTGCGTCCGATTGGAGGAATCGCCCTGCCAGTCACTGAGCGCCCTTTGAAAGGCGGCGGCCAGGCAGGCGGTGAGTTCCTTGGCCCGCTCGACCCGGCTGCACCAGAACACGCGGCACTGCAGCTGCCGGTTGCGCTGCTTGCAGATGTAGAGGAAGACGTTGGGGTGCACGGTGTCGGCGGTGCAGTACGCGATGTCCTGCAGGAACGTCTTGGACAGCTGCCGGCCCGTGCTGAGCTCCTTCACCTCCACGTAGCGCGGACGCACCACCAGCGCGTGCTCCTTCCCCGGCCTGCTGGGGGCGCCCTCCAGCAGCCGGCCGATGGCATCCCGCGCCTGCTCCAGGTCCAGAGAGTAGACGTTCTCCGAGCCCAAGTACTGCAGCTTGAAGAGAGGGTCGCCGTGCGACAGGTCCTCGGTCCTGTCGCGGCGCAGCCGGCGCCGAAGCACCGCGGGAGACTTCTTCAGGCTCTGCATCAGGGACATGCTAGCTCTGGGTCGAGGGCCTGTGCTGAAAAAAGAAGCCATTAAAAAACAAAGAACCACATTCCCCACAAATATCCAGTCCAGTCCCTTATCCCCCTACCTGAACCTAGTCACCTCAACCATGGCTTTCTCTGCCTGGGATGACATCATGTAGAAATTCACTGCACACAGTGTCTGCCCAAACACCCCTCAACTGAGTTCACTTCACGCATCGATAAGCAGATCGGCTGCATGTGCAGTGATGGGGGACAGTGATGGGGCTGATCAATAAAATGTAGATCTGCAGCCTGGACAGCTCATTCTGCAGTTATTTTCAGCCTCGATTACTTTTTATTATATGTGACCACATAAGCCGAAACGCTGCTCCTGAGATTACTCCGCATGGGCCAGTGGCCTACACACATTCAGCCTGTAAACTATAAGGCCTCTAAAGCTAAGGGGCCTCTCTTTTCCGTTTAGTAAAAGAAAAACATCGCGTTATGTTAATTTTCTCACAATGTCCCATGGCGATTTCTCCAAAAAGACCGATGATACAAAAAAAAAAATCAGTAAAGTGCGCTGCTAACATGGGCGGAGCCAAAGGGCCCTCGCCACCCCCAGTGCCACCCCGCTGGAAATGCTAAACATTAAAATATACCAATGAGGAGATCGGGCAAAGATTTGAGCGGAACACCGTAATTTCCGAGAGCCCCTGAACGCAACCCGACGCAGCAGTACCCTGTGCGTGCTGCTTACTGACGTGTCACTGGCTAAAAGCTCTGGCAGTGGCACACGTTCCTACATGATCCAAAACACACCCGCGGTATTGATAACAGCAGGAGTTAAGCAGGTATTTATAACATATTACATATTAATGAGAGGTGGTCACACACTTGCAGTACATAAAAATAGCAGCATGAAAGCGTTGCGCACTGTCTGCTCCATGGCTCGTTTAAATTAGCCACGAGCCCTGCTCGTGCTGATATAGATCGTCTTTTAGACAGCGTCTTTGTATGTATGTATGTTTTAGTGCACATGCTGAATTATAGTGTTGTTTTATTATTTTAGCAAAGCTAGTCCTTGCTTGAAGTCTGTGTGGTAAGTGTATATGTAGAGAACCAGTCATTAGTTTTCTACTGCATGTAAACAGGCTATGCATGTAATATTAAAGCTTTGAATCAACTTCACTATACTGTAATGTGAGGGTTTAATTAGCTGCCTAGATTCATTAATTTAATTAATCTATTTTAATTTAGTAAGAGCTAGCTACATTAAATAACAAGAAAACTAGTTAAAATAGTGTTTCTTATAGTGTCTCCGCCAAACAATCATGATGCAGTGTATCCTCTCTCTTTCAAATTCTTAATTTATTATAAAACTAATCCTAACAACATCTCCGACAGATCTAAAATATTCTTCCACGTCTCCAAGAAACAGACTCTTCCCATAAAGAGACATGCGGTCAAAAACGGCACAGATAACACTCACATAGGAAGAAAAGCATAAACAACGCCTACGTGTACATGCAGATATGCACAGGAACACACTCACAGCTGTTTATCATTATGGAGCATTCGTAACCAGCGGCGGGAATAAACGGCTTTATCGGCCTTCTGCACGCTAATCGCCGAACTGACAAAGCGCTTCCACCACCGCTGAAGCCACTTATATTTGTGAATATACCCTGCATCTTATTACCTAAACGTTTTCCAGTACTTAATCTCTAATCTATTTTATCTTGATTATTAAGTTACAGTAAACGGGAAAACGGCACAAAAACACAAGCCAATGCAGGTTTCAGGCCGAGACGTGACGTAAATGTTGTACTGTTGTTCTGACTATCATGTCTGATTACTGTAAGCTGCAAGATCCTGCACACTTTCAGAAAAAAGGGTAAAAATTTGTACCTTTGCTTGTCACCGGGGCTGTACCCTTGTACCTTTGAAGGTACAAAAATTTACTCTGAGGAACATTTCAAAGGTACAAACAGCTTTAGTGTACCATGTTCCTCTCTGTCCATTTCTGTACCTTAAAAGGTATAATTACCTACAGCTAAGGGTAAAATTGGCAGTGACAAGCAAAAGTACACATTTTACCCTTTTTCTGAGAGCATAGTTTCCCGCAACTGAAAACTGTAACATTTCTGGCAACCTCGTCTAATGTAGCCAACTTGGTCTCCAAATGTTTATCTTGTACTATCTGTAGTCTTCCAAAACTCGACCTTTCAAATAGCTACCGATGATCTAGCCTACTGATATCCAGAATGATAAGTAAACCACTGAATGCATTTTAATAAATGCAGTTATACTGATGAACTACTAGAAGACTTTTACTTCCTTTCGTAAAAGATGATTCATAGATATGGTTTGAAAGTAAAATGTTTTCACTTACTATGTACAATTAAGTTCAGTCAGTAACAATATATAAACACATCATAAAGTGGGTGAATGTCAATAAACATACATAAAACACAAAATAACTGTACGAGAAATGTGTTGAACACTGCTAAAGTGCTGAATGGTCAAAAAAGCAATTGATTTCATTATGGAGTTATGGCAGAACCTCTTAATTTCTTGATTCTTCCTAACTATATAGGCGGACTTGAGAGAAAGAATCGTAGATTAAGTTAATCGCAAACGATTTTGATTTAGCCTAATTGTGGTGATTAAATTAAAATAGTTTGTGATGAACTTAGCATTATTTTACGCCATTTATTTTTGTTTTATCAACAGACGGAATTATGCCAATGCATTTTAATTTACCCCTGCAATAATGTCGCCCTTTAGTCAAAGCGTCCGCGCCTGAACTGTAGCCACATGCAGTTAGATGGCGGCATGAACAGGCTGAAAGTGCCGGTGACCCGAAATATCTGAAATCATCACGAACTGCAACTACGCCGGATGCTAATTATCTAGTAGGCTACGTTTTCAACTTGGTGCAAACTTTATCTCACAGTAATTCGTGCAAGGAGCTAAGCGACCGGCTTGTAACTGTTTTTCTTGTTCTTTTCCCGGAAGAAACCTATAAACACAATTAAATATACTTCATACCTGAGCCATGCAAGTTGCGTGAAAAAGGCAGAGTTAATGTATTGTTATCGAGGAATCCAGGATTATGGAGATAAACTTCTTTTGCTTCACGAGCAGAAGGAGCAGTCGCTTAATTATTCCGGTTATTCCGCAGATGTAACTGAACCGTGCCGGTTTCTGGCTCGCCGCGTTTCACCGTAGGCGTCTCCGCGTGGCAGCGCTGACGTTACCCGCGCCTCCGCGTCTCCACTTTCCCCGACGCGTTTCCTCCCGTCTTTCTCTCCTTTTTCCTTTTCTCTCCCATTTGAAGGAGGATATTTGTACGTGACAACGAGAAGAGGGGAGATATGTAAATGATCACTGGATGTTCTGGTTAGATGGGTTTGTTCCAAATAGGGGAAGACAAGGATATCCGGCACGTCCAGGTGTTTGAACGTTATTAAACTAAAAGGCCGTGGGAAAAATGCATTTTATTTCTGACACTGTTTAATTTGATCGATTTTAACGAAGATTACATTTCTGAATACAAAAGTGATAGATGTCTATTTTATTTTATTTTATTTTATTATTTCTAAATGCCCTCGCTGTACTCTGGTACATGCGTTTCTCCTGTATAAATTAAAGCCACTTGTGTGATAAAACCACACCGTATCTCCGTAATTCTTACACCTCAGATGATAACCTGATTATATAAATTAATTTTACTCAAAATAATACTGAACGACTGTATTATTTAATATGACCTTCGCAAAGCAAAAAAGCCTATCCAATTAGTTTCCTTGAAATGTGTAAGTATTCTGTGAGACTAAATGGTTTACAAGCAGATACATAAGGATATGGTTCACTTTCGATGTCCGAAATTGGCCTAAATTATCCATAGTATGTTTGCCTGCATTGGACAGTGATCAGGCTGCCAATTTAGATGTTTGAATTGGTGGAACAGAGGTATGTGAGGAACCATGTGAGAATCAGTAGGATGAAATGGTAACAAATGTTTATTAATAACTTTGAATATTTCAACGTGACGTTACTTGTGGGGCGACATCATCTGTTTTTAAGTAGGACTAATTCTTTCTAACAGCAAACGTCCACACCCAAATTTATGTGAGTTTGAGCCCTGGGATTCATTCGGTCATGCTATACTTAGGTCATTGCAGAAACTCCGCAAACAGCACAACTATTACCACACCGATATCGTGGTTAGAATGTCCAAATACGGTAAAAGGGCGACGTTAGTCTGGAGTCTGCTGACATCGGCGCGGCGAAAAGACTGTGGGAGTTAAAGATTACCGCCGCCAGCTACGTCACTGCCATAATGAATCAGACATGATTCGTTCAAAAATAAACAGTGCATGGGAATCGATACCATGAAGGCCATCCAGTCAGCATGTACTTTCAAGGGTAGACTGCATGCCTTCAACCAAACCAGATTTTGACGCATGGGCAGTCTGAATAATAAGCATTTATTCTTGAAATTAAACGATTTCCTGTTTGCCTTCATGTGGAAGCGGATCGGTTACCTGCGGTTGTGCAGGTTGGTTGACTTACACAAGCCATCTGCCTTTATAGGTGAAATCTGTGGGTGTGTGATTTTAATCACTTTATGTTTATTTTAAACTGTAAGATGACTCTCCTGGTGCACGATTAACACAATTTGCGAAGAATCTCGTATAGGTTTGCCGCAATTAATTTTTTATGAGGAAAGTTGCATAAACCTCCAAATCAAACTTAATTTTTTTAAAGTTTCAAATATTTCTACACTTCAGCGCATACTTTACGCCCCCGCCCGGTAAACCTGACTCCCTTATACAAAGCACCCTATGAGCAATCCGATCTTGTATAGTTTTAATATTTGTTATTGCTAATGTCACATTTTTTTTACCGTCAGCAGAAGCAGACAGCAAAGCCACATTGACAATATGTGCGTAGTTTCCGGTTTTTAGTAGTTTATCAGGAATGTTATCAAGGTCGGAAGTCCGCTTATCCAATCAGCGCCAAGGACTGAGTCGCGCGTAAGACATTTAGCCAATAAGATCGAGGAGCGTCCTCGGTAACCTCGCTGCGACGCAAACAAGATGTTGCTGTCAAATATAAAGCCTGCAAAATCATTCGCTCTTACTGTAGCGTCATTTACAAATAGTTTGTGTAATTCTACCATTTTGTATGTTAAGCATCAATTCTAAAGCAGCTTACATCCTGTATTAAAATGTACCTTTAAATCTGGTCATTTATTTAAGCTCGTAAAAGCAAGTTTAACGCCTTAATGCAATGAGGTATACTGCATACGTACTGCATATATAATGAATAAACGGCGTAGATCTGTACGGATTGTCGTGGCGCTTGCAGACTGATCCATGTTACAATAAGATCAAGCAGGTTACGAAAACCAGCGGACTCTGTCGCGGAAGTCCAGGGGTTGCACACCTTTACAATAGATAAACGCAGATTTGCTATTGATATGCGAGGGCTTTCTGTGTAGGCGCCATTAGAGGATTTCTGCACGGTAGATGCCAGGTTGCATGACTGAAATAACCCTTTGCACTAAACGAATACACTTGTAGAGCTGCACCAACGTCTTCTTAACCAAGAGGGCTAATTTATCTGCCTGGCGAAAGGGATTCTGGATGCGTTTAGTAAATCCCAGGTTTGAGCGATTTCAGCACAGTTAAGTTAACCGAGGACACGGTCTTGGAAATGGACTTCATGATTCGCGCTGCCACGCCGGAGGACTGCAAAGATATATCGCGGATGATCATGGTAACCCAGCAACGCATTGCCTTTAGTCCGTATCAGATTCTGTGCAGAAAAGAAATTGGCAGTTAGCCGCAAAATAACACTTCTCCTATTGTATATTATGTTCCGAGTTTGCCGGTTACACGCGTCACGTGCAGCTCCGGTTCTATTTTTGGTACTGGGATTTACAACTACGTACGTCTCTCATTTTCATTCTCATACTATGTATGGCGCTATGCAAAATCTAATGTCCTAACAGTTGTATCACTGAAATCGAATCAGTTTGGTTTCACTTAAAGTGACTGAATTCCCCTCTTCTCTGCGCTTCTAGGAATTGGCGGTTTATGAGAATATGCCTGACCAAGTGAAGATTTCACATGAAGGTACAACAGCATTTGAGACCTCCCACGGAAGGACAGCTAGGATCTAATGCATCCAGCGATATTTTTTTATCTTATAAAGCTCCTAATTCACAGTAACAGTCAGGCAGCAGATGCTAACGCTGCTTAGCTGGGTGGGCTAGTTGTTCAGGAAGCTCCATGGTTAGAAAGTGGGGATTTTCTTATAATCCACCACCTTCCCCCAAATGCTCTCTTTTATGTCCCCAGTGCTGGAACAAGATGGATTTTGCAAAAATCCTTTCTTTCACTGCCTTGTTGCAGAGGTGGCAGAACAGTACAGAACGACAGAGGGTAGGTAAACACTAAACAGATGAGTGAATCAGTATGGGCCTGCATGTTTGCATGCTTACATCAGGCCTTGTTCAGTACTGGGAGCAGAGACATATCAGTTAGTCATAACTCCAGTGTAGACTCAAACCCTCCCACATAGTTATCCGTCTAAGCTTTCAATGACTGATTAACTGCTGAATCTGCTGAGGGGAGCAGCCACAGATCAGCCTTTATCTCATGCAAGACAGCCTGTTCCTTTGTCATCACTTGCAATTGGTCCTAACTGCCATCTGACATTCTGGCCCTTTGTGTTGCTAACCAATCAGAGCTCGGCAAGAAAGACATTGACCATATTTGCCTTTGCAGGTTATACAGTGATTGGCTATGCCCTGTTCTTCTACACATACAGCACATGGAAAGGCCGTTCCGTGTACATGGAGGACCTCTATGTCATGCCAGAGTTCAGAGGTGAGTTTCCAGGTGAGCACTTGTCCATTTATGCTGTGTGATGATCCAAAGCAATGCATTTACATGCAGTTTTCTGTGTCTAATAAGGACCGGGTTTTGTTAGGGGGGTCCTGATTTTGTTTTTGCTTTGCAGGCAAGGGTGTTGGCACGGCATTAATGAGTAAGGTTGCTCAGGTGAGGTCATTTTTCTTTGCCTATGAGCAGAAGCATACGGAACAGCACTCTATGTTGGATAATGTAATATAAGGAGTACTGATGCATGATGGGTAATGCAGTGTCTGCCATTGTAGGTGGGTGATAGGAAACAGTGTATGGTGGGTAATGTAGTTTTTTCCTGTGCAGGTGTGTAAGGAGCAGCAGTGTGTGCGTCTGCAGTTTTCCGTGCTTAACTGGAACACTCCATCTCTGGACTTTTACAAAGCCAAGGGTGCCCAGGACCTGACAGACAGCGAGGGCTGGCATGTACTGCGATTTGATGGGGAGGCGCTGGACAAACTAGCGCAAATGGCACCCAAAAATTAATGTTTGTATCAAACATTGTAAACAAGTTGGGAACCAAATTAAGTGCACCATGAAATAAATATCCCAAAGTGTATTTTTGGACTTTTTCCCTTTGACTTGTTAACAAAAATGACAGAAGAACATCTGATGGGTGATAAACCTTTCTGCTGCGTATCACAATCTTCAGTGCTGAAGTCAATGCCTTGGTCTGTTGAAAGGGATAAATGTAGACTGCTTGTAGCATAAGAAGGACAAGTGAAGAAGGTTAGGGTTTGGGAGGTGATGAACCTGAAGCATAGCTGACAGACAGTTCAGGGTAATGGAGGGAGCCGCGCATCTTAGAGGATTTGGCTGCCCTGGGATTCTCTGGAAGACCCAGACTTGCTGTTCCCCAAAGGCCCCTCTCTCCTTTCACAGAGTGCACGTCCTGTCCTTCTCCTGTTTGTCGCGTCCACTTTCCCATGACCTCCCTCTAAAGTCCGTCTCACTCCTGTCCCCGTCACACCGGCTTTCAGCCCTGCTGCCACGTGACCCCCCCCCCTATTCTCTTCTCAAGCCTTTCACTCTTTATTCTGGGGTTGTTTTTGGCTCAACTGTTGCGTGGCAAGTTTTCCTTGCAAATGGTCCTTTTTCACTCCAGGCTTTTCCCTAATATAGTCATTTTCAAATTCGTCCCAGTTCCTCATTTGGCTGTGGCGCCGTCTGTGCCCCTTTATGATGCCACAAGTCCAGCTTGGGCACACACACACACACACACACACACATACAAACACACACAGGTTTTTTTTGCCGTCTGCCGTAGCTGTGTCTTTGCCAGCTACAGGTCACTTGACTTGTGGTAAAGCTACATTCTTCAATCACATGACCTATTTAGGTCACCCAGTAATAATATTTCTGGCCTTAGAATAACAAACCGGTGAGTCATGGAGCAAAGTGGACTAAGGGAGCAGGTAACACGCACACACACACCACCGTCCTGTAAAATGTTCAGCGTAGTGTAGTGTTAAAGGTGCTGAACCTGAACATTTTCATTGAAACACCCAACTGTAAATGAACTGAAGGTTGCATCGATTAAAAATGTCAGCTGATCAATGACAGTATTTCATAGTTAACATGATTTTGCTAAATCTGGAACTGGAAGAGTATCGCTACTTCAAACACCGTGTCTTGTGTGGATTTGTGTGTGTTACAAGTTCAGTGTTTCTGCAGTATTCCTGCGGGTGGCTTTTTAATGAACCTGGGCCGCATTCTATGCCTCGTTTTTGAGTAATTTGGTGATTCATTTTTTTTTTTTTTAATGCTGGCATGTGCTTTGTGGCGAACATCTGTCTAGAAGCCAACTCAGAGCTATTTTTGTAATCTGAAGTACAGTGATTGACAGTAAATCCTGGGCTCAATATTACAGCTCTTAAACAAATTAACTGTTAAAAAGGGACAAACTATCAACGGTTACAGCACCCCCATGTGGCAAGTTTAGGTATTTCCTGTGTTTTGTCTCAGTCTGAAGGCCTTTTTCTGCTTTGGATCTCCTTTCTGTCTTCTACATTATTGTTTTCCAACCTGGACCTTGGGGACCCCCAGGCAGTCCACATTTTTGCTCCCACCTACTACTACTGTAACATGCCTGTACCAGGTATTCGGTGTTCCTGATTGGCTGGGCGCTGATAGGGAGCAAAAATGTGGACTGTCCAGGGGTCCCTGAAGCCTGGGTTGGGAAACACTGTTGTACATCATTGTGTCCCTTGATCCTTTCCCTGTTTTGTAATGTAGCTATTGACTGTGACAGGCAGCTAAGTAAAGTGCCAGGACATATTGACGATTTCATGGTGACGTGCAGGCCTACGAATCCCTGCCTTTATACTCAGTACTGTTCATCACAACTTTCACTAGTGGAGTATAAGCCTACATAAATCGATATTTGCTAAATGAACAATTGACTTCCTTTCAAAAAAGAAACAACTTGACACAAAAAGATGTATAACTTCCAGTTCATGTACTAGTGTTTTTTTTTTATTTATGACACATAGTTCGCACTTTAAAAAAAAACATTTAAACGTTACAAAGAATACATGCATTATTTCTGCCTTATTCAATGCAAAATATACATACACAGCAATCCTTCGATTTGCGGTAATTCACTTTACACTGCTTTCGGTCAGACGCGTCTTGAGTTTTGATTTACAGACTGCTTTCCTCGACATAACGTTTTTCAGGTAAACGGCATTAAAACATTAAAAGCAGTAGGTTTCAACATTAAGGTTGGAGGCAAACATTATTTCTTCGGCACAACAGGTGAGTGCAATAAAGTTTGATTATATTAGATTGCATTGATTGTTTCAAATAGTTTTGTTAATTATAAGGTTTTTCTTTGTTATATGTAATAGCTTCGGCAGAGCAATGTAATTCTTGTCTTAACACAAGCGTTCACAGCATCACCCATTAAAAGGATAGCATAAAGACAAATTATTGAATAAAAATTTCCATCATGATGCAGCAGAACAGGAGAATAACAGTCTCAATGTTCCCGATGCCAAATTTAACTCCATTTTAAGTTAAGGATGAACTTTCGTTCTAACATATGGTTACATGCGCAGGACTTGACTGCTTTTCCAATGACACTTGCAGGCTATACAATAGCACCAATTTAAACAATTCAATATGATTATTTCACAGCTACCCCTCTGCGTCAGCTTACGCTGCTGGTACATTTTTACAGCATTGTGAGAATATGCTCAGTGGCATATTCTCCATCTTGAAAGTTACCATTAAAAGTAGCTATTATTCAGAGATGCAGGATATTTTATAGTAGACTCTCCAGACCAAAGGGAGAGAAGGTTTGAAATGCACAGTCGTGGGGAGTTCATACGGAACTAGACTGGCTCAGACGTAGGCATTCCTGCCGTAGTGACTGGGCGTGTTCGGTAGCCCAGTGTCCTCGATTCCTCGCCTCGCTGAGTATACTGTACCTCTTGCCGACTTGTGGTGATAAGGCCTGGGTAGAGAGCGATAGAAACACAACTTTATTGTTGTAAACGTTTGAATTGTTGTGCAGATACAGCCAGAGGTGTTTCTAGAGATTTTGGGCCCCATGCAAGAATATCATATTGGGCTCCCTAGTTCAAAATTTTTTTTAGGCCCCTTAGGGTCCCTTGGAATCCTCCTAACTCCACCCCCACCATACGGCGCCCCTGGGTACAGAACTCGGAGGGGCACCCGCACAGGGAATATGCATTATAGCGGAACTCTGCCGGACTCACAGTTTCTCTGAATTCGCCGACTTGCAGGAGCACAGCAGACATACCCCCCCGCAGATGGCGATCGTAGCCGAAACCCAACCGATATACAGCGCCTCTCCGAGTTCGTACCTGCGAAGCAGCACATTTCCATTTCGTTCATTTCCGTGTGCCGACGACACAAATAGCACAGAATGGGAGCGGCTTTCGCGCCCTGAGAACCCGCGTTATTGAATAGCAGAAAGCGGCTTTGGATGAAAGTATTTAGTGCAGCCCGTATAAGACAGGGTTCCAGGCGCGAGATGGACGCTGATAAATTACACTGCAATAACAGTAGATGGCAATAACGTAACATAAAAACGGGACTGAGCCCTAACGAACGCCTACTTACTTTATCCCTGGATAGAGTGGATCAAAAAACTCTTGGGTGATATTAAACGCGTACCAAGATACAGATATCATAGTGCAGAGACCTAGAAACAACAAGAACAAAAACGAAAGGAGTAAATTCCTGAATTACTGCGCCGCTATAATTTAACGTAAGTGTCCCTTCTCACCTTGGAGCAGGAAAAATGCGCCCCCAGTTCCAGCGATCCTCCCCTTCAGCACATAGTTTTCTCCCATAACTTTGGAGCACTTCATTCCGACCAGGGTGGCAAAGACGCCGGCCGTGCCCATCGATATGGCCGCAATCATAAGCGCTCGGGACGCTTGAAGGGGCCCTGTCAAAAACGGCAAAGCAAATATAAGTAACGTGTACGGTGGTGGGCCCTATTTTAAAGGATTTCAACTTGGTTAGCTTTTTTTCTTTGAATTTTCATAAAGCACACAAACTAGAAAAGGCAAAGTCTACATTTTCAATTCAGGTTCATTCCATCCTCCTGAAAGGTCAAACGCGCATATTGAGGAAGGGCTAAGTGTTTCTTTAGCACAACGTACCAGATAAGGCAAGAAGGGACTTGGAAGTCTCGGCATTTGTTGATTCTCATGGAATCGGCCGCACAGGAGATCCACAAATTCTCATAAATGTTTGCGGTAGTAATAACGTTTCCATTCACGGTGGATACCGGAGTAACAGTTCGGTAAGGCAACCCCAGCATAACCCACCCAAAAAGCCCAAGGAGGAAAGATACTGCTTCAACAACGACATTAATTCTACTTATGTTTTGCGAAAACTACCACAAGCTCAGTTTTAAACTTTCCGTAGACCTAATTATATTTGACGTCAATATGTGGGCAAACGTTCCGCTTATCTTCGGGTCATCACTCAGCTGCAGGCTGTATTTATAATTACTATTTTGCGACAAGACTTGGTCGTAGTTAAAACCTTACACACATCAGCCTCGCGCACTTTTCTGTGAGATGACGATTGTTAAGGAATTATATTTTATCGATATAAAAATTTCGATAATGTTCAATGTTCAAACGGGACACGGTTTTACCACGGCCTTCATTGTTTTATGCCTGCAGAAATAGCCCCCTTTGCATAACTTTCCCATACTAGGCTATAACGTTCGCCGGTGTTCTGACGAGTTGAGCTACCTATCTAGATGTACTATCGAGCCTTATTGGGCATGTGCAGTCCCGCCGTTTGGGGGTTAGCGTTAGGTTTTAGGGGTTTGGGTTAGGGTAGGGTAAGGGTTTTAGGTTTTTTTGGAGGGTTAGGGCTATCGATTAGCACTACGGTAGCCTAACTCGACAAAGTAGCTCAACTCGACAGAACACCGGCCGTAAACTTCAGTCCTTATAAGTTTTTTCTTTCCATTAAGCACTTTAATGGGGGGAATGCCAAAGCACTAATTAGTTGTTCTAAGTTGCCAAGACTATTACAAGAATTCTCAATTGCCTGAAAATGTTATTTAAATTTAAACTGCCGTCTACTTCATTGCATGCATCATTAGTAACCTGGATCAACTTATAAGCCTTCATGGCGGGAAAGAACAATTTCAGAGTGTAATGTAATTAAGAATTTGCTTACACTACAAATTGTTGTTGTTGTTACGGTCAATAATAATGATAATAATAATAGTAGTAGAAGTAGCAGAGTCAAATACTACGTTTTCAGTCTGTTTTCCTTCTCATTTTATAAATACAAACAAAATCAGAGACTAGTTTCTATGCAAGTCAAAGACATAGTCCATGTCTATGTCTATAGTAGGTTGAATTCTTGTAATCGTCTCCTGACTGCCCCCCCCCCCCCAAAAAAAAAAAACTCCACAAATCAGCTTCAGCTTATTCAAAATGCTGCTGCTAGAATTTTAACAAAGCCCAAAGAATACAGAGCACATCATTACAATTCCCAGATCTTTGACTGCATTTTGGTTAATCAGAGAACTTGAGATCTGGACTCGTCAGCCAATCGTGCCCAGAGCCGGAACTAAATATGACGAAATGGCATTTAGTTATTATGCGACTCACTGCTGGTGCTGCTCACATTGAACGTCAGGAGGCTCCCAACAATAACGATCTCTAAGACTAAGCTGAAAACTATTTAATTTTCTATAACTTTTAATTAATTTGAATGAAAATACGCATTTATATCATCTTGCACGCTTCATGTTTATTATTTCATATGCGCATACTCGAATTTGATTTTTTTAACGTTTAATTTAGGTCTGTGCTTTTAATTTCTGTAAAGCACTTTGAGTGCCCTCTGTTGGTTGAAACAAAATCTTGCTCTGGTTTTGTATTCTCTTGACCTGAAATCACTTCTGGAAAATAATATAAAAGTAAACTTGCCTGCATATTATTTATGTGGTTAAGCATGCAGGACTATTATTATTAGACCGCGCAGTGTAATATACTGGCATCCCGTCCTGAGTGAACCCTTGTGTCCTGTGCTGCCTGGGGAGGTTCCAGCCCTCCCACGACCCTGGTTAGGATAAACGTTTAGAAGATGGATGGATGGATGGATGGATGGATGGATGGATGGATGGAAGTGTGATTTGCTGAATTATGTTATCCAGCCCTGCGAGTGACTGATATCCCGTCCGGCGTGCACCTCTGCCTTGTCCCCTTAACTGCCTGGGAAACCGTCCACATTCCCAAGCGACCGTGACCAGAGTAAGAGTTTGAAAGATGGATATTCCACTTGTGTGACGCTGGCATTCAGTACCTTACCGGACAGCGCGAAGAGAGAGGGGAAGTCGCGGCAGTTGAAGGAGCCGCTGGAGTCGCTTGCGCAGGACATCCAGAGGTTCTCGTAGATGGTGGAGGTTCGGATCACGTTTCCGTCATCGCTCGATACTCTCCAGTACGGATTTTGCAAAGAAACTCCGACCATGATTACACTCAGGAAACCAAGAAGAAAAGCTAATACTTCAGCGATAGCACGCATGTTCCTAATGCTTGAATGAATCGCTCGAAGTGTTCAGGTGACGCGATGTAAAATATACAGACACGATTGTAAAATCCAGAATAGAACTGACCATCAGTAATGTAAAATTACTGCGCTTTTGTCCCAACTCTGAATTACCTGTAAACAGTCGATGATGTGATGTATTGTTTTAATAGGCTCTATGTAATTTATAAGGACGAATGTGAACCTTCACGGCTGATTAGCTTCTTCCGCCTTCTGCGACAGTCCTTCTCATCCAAATGTAATTACTTCAGTCCATATAGAAATGACATATTTATATGTGAAGGGATACGAGTCGTGGGTTGGATTTCGTCGTGACATGTGCTAGGCGGATATGGCTCCTCTAGTGGCCGGACCTTGTGGTTGTTGTCCCGCGGGTCGGGTGCGAGTCCGGGTGTTTCCAGGGGATTCCCTCCAGTCTCCGACGGGCTTCCAAATAATGCGGGATCGAGCTCCAGTCACTCGCATTTGGCTCTGAACGCCTCCCAGGCTTTAAGATTGGACCCTGACCGCCGTGAGTGCACCTGTGCAGTAGCGATAAACCATAGCTGACTAGCGAACGTTCTACCGCCAAAACGCATAAACCATGTAATACTAAATGTGCAGTATAAAATTGTATCATCTGTTGCAACAACTTAAATAAGGGGATTTAACCTGTCCGCCATTAACAGATTTTTCTCTTTGTTTAAACAGAACCACTTTTAATAGCCTATGTATTGTTCCAACAAAGTCGATTTACTTTTAAGTGCCATCACCGGAAAAGCTTAATTTAGTAAAAGAACGACATACCTATGAATCTATTCTTTTGCACAGTCATTTCACTGCCGATCCCTTCTGCCTGCAAATGCATATCCTGAATAGGGTCGCCGGAGCCTGTTCGTGTGTTTATTAATTTAGTGTGGGCGTTTCAACCTTTCTCCTTTGTAACATATATTTTTCGCCCCGAACAGTGGTGAGTAAACAAACTGTAAATACCCGTAATCCTCTAACGGAAACATCTCTACAGACCCCCTACCACAGAAAGCACCAAATTTCGACCAAAAATTACCATAAATAAATAAAGTTTTCAGTTTCTGGGACGGCGTGAATATTCTTTACAAAATCTAATTAAATGACTTACTTTGTTTTTAAAAAATGAAAACGTTGAACCTTCCCCAGTCTAACCATTTCAGACACACTCCGGTATAGTGCTGATAATGCAGAAGCCACAATAACACCGACGTACACAACTCTGGGAGAACTTTCTGCAGGAATCTGTCTTGGATGATCGGGGAAAACTGTCCCCCGTTTTAATGACTATTGCGGGGATATTTCACATTGAAGATCCGTTTGACGATGTCTTGAGCGCGTAGTAACACAGTGTCCCTAAACGGTGTCTAAGCTTTATTAAATTGAAGGTGCTTTTTAGCAATTTTTCTAATGGATTTTTAAAAACCAATGCATTTAAGTGACAACACTTGCAAACGTACACAGCAGAACATATTCTTTAACCTGAAGCATTTCGGGGTAACCGCGGAGTTCAGTAGCTATAGCTCCCTTCCAGGGTACGAGACAAGCTCTCAGACCCTTGGAGTGGGTTAATGTTTTAGAGACTTCGAAACCATTTCCTTATTGTTCTCTAAGTGGAGTAAAAACCCGCCAATGTAGCCTAATCTCAGCAATGCTGTTATATTGCTGGTTTTAAAAGAACAGTGTACACACAATCACAGTCAATAGTACGACCAGACAGCTCTCCTTATGGCTCTGCGCGGCTTTCCGTGGCTCTCTTTGGAGATGTCCGCAGTGCGTAGCAGCATCAGATAGAAAGTAGGATGCCTTAAACAATTCGTTACATGCTCCCGCTATGTTAAGACCTTTAATACATTCTACAGCAATCATATTCTCAGTGACTCATTCACTCATTAAATTAATCTATCTTCGATAACTGTGTATCCCTTTAGAAGTACAGTATTAGGGAGTCAATGCTGGGAAGAACTAAGCCTACCATAGAGCAGCATTGAACGGGGCCACAGTTCATCAGAGTACTCCCGTGCACCAGGAGCGGAGGCCCTGTTCTGATCGCCCCCTAACTTCTATTGGCTATGAGTGCTGTCAATCATGGAAGTTTTCCCAAACGCACGTTAGTGACGCAAATATAATTTTACTAGCTTCCAGAATAGCATAAGTATACACAAGTAATATCCATAATTATTGCACAGTTTGAGAAAATAAGTTTTTATGTTGTGAATTTGGAAGGAAGTGGATGAAAGCTTTAATTTTTCCTCTTTGGATAGCCTACCTCCCCATAGGCTTGCCCCCGCCCCCCGTCCTGGGTTATTCCCTGCTTTGCGCCTGTAGCTTGCGGGATAAGTTGGGGATCCCCGCGACCCTGCGTATAGGATAAGCGGGAATAGTAAAGGAATAGAAGGATGGAGCTATACAGTCTTGCTCCCCAATACCCCTCCCATGAAAATAATACATCTCCGCCCCAACCATACGCACATTCACTCACAGCGTCACACCACAAGTATTGTTTAGAAGCGCTAGTTCGTCTGAACTACGGTGGCGATTACGGAGATTAAGAGACCACGTTCATATAGCGTTTATTACCGTATATTGTTATAATTGTCTTATTTTATTATTAGTAATTGGTTTTGATGTCTTATTGGGAATATTATAATAATTTAACTTTATCATAGGTATGTATGTAGACGAAATTCAAGTTATAGGCCTATGGTGTTCTCTACTATCCCCAGTACTGTTCGATGTTGGTCTTGTATCTCCTGCTGTACACCTGCTTTACGCGAATTTGAGAGACATACCTGCCTGGTTTGGTTAGATTTGCTTTGAATTCCTATAGCCTCCCCTTTTCCTTCCAAAATGACTATGATACTGCTCTCTATACTTCCGACCTACATTTTAACTGAATGCCTTGTGGTTAATTTATTTCCAGATAAAAAATAAATAAATGACTGAAATTGTGTTATTTTTCACCAAAAGTTTTAAATTGTTTAAATAGCCTAACTAGATTGATTATGAGCTTATGAGCACGCTTAAAAACATGTTTAAAAATTTTACTCTATGTATAAAATGCCGACAATAACGAATATCAGTATAATTTTGGATAACAATAATTTAAACATTTGGTAAATATAAAACTGAATGTGAAATGAAATTCAGCATCGACATTAATAAATGTGATATTCCTGAATTTCCATGTATTTGTTCATATCATTTTAATTAAAGGTGGTCAACGAATAAATCCGTACGATTTGAGTTTTGTAACGTTTTAAAATAGCATAGTATCGTTTTCGATTGTTTTGGTGATACAACCTATCATGTCTAGAAACTGTCAATTATAGCCTACATACAAATCTGATTTTTTTAATATTCATCAGAAATGTATAGCCTACTCAAATCAGTACAGGTGTCATGTTAAAAATGTTTTCAGATAAATGAAGCAATTTGTTACATGCAGCATTACATATAGATTATACAATAAGGCACTTTACATTAGTTATTGTGTATTTTTTTTGGAAACGTCGCGTATTGGCTTAATTGTAGCAAAACACTTGTAAGCGGTTTGCGCTTTCGATCTTTCATTTTATGCTTCATTTGCATTTATCAACTGGTGTCAAGGTGATAATCAGTATGGGGTTTATCAGGCGTCTGTCCGCAAACGGGCAAATAGACACGTTGCATCCGCCGTACACGCCGCCTGACACGTGATCTGCCAGAGCTTATACAGGTACCGTGAGGTCCCTCACCAGTACTCTAGCTTCTGCACTGTAACTCTAGTGTGAAATTTCGTCTGTTTGAGTTTATGGCCTTATATATTCGCATTCATAAATGTGGTTGAAGGTGATCGGTAATCTTTGTGTATGTTAGTCAGGCGCTGCGTTTCGATAAGACTGTTTACTTTCTTGTGCCCCGACAAAATTAACAATAAAACGAGTTTTGATTGTACAAAGTATACAAAAACACATCCAAAAGCACACTTAATGAGTTAAGATATTTATAATTATATTAAGCAGAAAAATGTACAGCCAGAGTATTCACATGCATATAAATACATGCCATATTTAAAGGGGACAGAGTTTTATATATGAGATGAGTTTAAACCTAAAGGAATATTTCTACAAGGTACTTAACTGTCTCTTGAACGAAAGAAAAGTGTGTTAAAATTGGGCCACATTCATTAATGTGTCAAAAGGCAGTACATATATAATGGAAACAAGGAGTAAACACCTTTATTAATCGAATCGGTTCTACTTGAGACTAAAGCTGAATTTAGACTGTTTGAACAATTATTTCTGTTGATTAAAATATTATTCCGTCTATCCATGTATCATCCATCTCCCATAACGCTTGTCCCGTACTGGGCTGCGCCGAAGCTGGAGTTAATCTCGTGAAGCACAGGGCACCTGGAAAAATACTCAAAGTAAATGAAGAGAAATTTCTCTCTTTTTTCTTTTTGAGACACTATTTTGGGCGTTAACTTGGGTAGTTTTTTGCTGCTATGTTGTGATATGTTGGTATCCACTGAATTAAATAGGAAATGGAATGTTATTTTGTAAATGAGTAATGAATGATTTTTATATGTATATGTATCATTTCATATACAGCAGGGCTGGGACATCCTGAAATGGGAGAATACTATACTGCGCTTTAGTCAGCTACTGATTTTCCAGATGACTGCCGTTTCTCAGGAGTCGTTACAGAGGTTCGTTAAGGTTAGGGATTTTTTTTATATAAGAGTTAATACAAGGACAGTGCAATTATTAGTGCACTTCAAAGTGGTGGACATTGATCTTTCCCTTCTAAGGCATTTTCAGCTGCAGTAGTCTGATAGGTGTCCTCTCTGACCCCTGCTTTACTCCATTGTCCTCAGATTGACTTTACTGTACACTGACACTGCAGTTTAAAACCCTGTAATCTGCTGTACAGTGTGGTGATATTTTCCACTCCTCTGTGTAATGTGCTACACATAACCCATCCATCCATTTTCTGTAATCATTTGTCTTAGTCAAGGTAGCGAAGGGTCCAGAGCCTACAGGCGCAAGACAGGGAACAACCCCGGATGGGGCATTAACCCATTGCAGGGCACACTCACACACCATTCATTCACACATGCACACCTATGGGCAATTTAGTAACTGGCAGTTTGGTGGCCCCAGTTAGCCTCAGCATACTTTTGCACTGCGGGGGGAAATCAGAGTACCCAGAGGAAACCACAACTGCATGGGGAGATCATGCAAGCTCCATACGTAAGGAACCCTTGCGGAGACTTCAATCCTGGTCCTAGAGGTGTGAGGCAACAGTGCTTCCTGTGGCGTTACCTAGCAGCCATGCTTACAGCTGCCCAGCACCTCCAGTGAGATTCCTTGGAGGATCCTTGGAGTAGCTGAGGTGAACCAGTCTGAGCCAGAAACACATGGGAGAAGGCAGAGTATGACTATACAATGAAGGGCTACATGCCATATAATCTATATAACTATATAATGAAGGGCTACATACCATATAATCTATGTGGCTATACAATGAAGATCTACATGTCATATAATCTATGTGACTTTATAATGAGGGGCTACATAACATAATCTATGTAATTATATAATGAAGGGCTACATAACATAATCTATGTGACTATATAATGAAGGGCTACATAACATAATCCATGTAATTATATAATGAAGGGCTACATGCCATATAATCTATGTGACTGTATAATGAGGGGCTACGTAACATATAATCTATGTGACTATATGATGAAGGGCTACATACCATATAATCTATGTGACTGTATAATGAGGGGCTATGTAACATATAATCTATGTGACTATATAATGAAGGGCTACTGGAGTAAAACCATGATGAGATGGAAAAGGCATGAA